AATTTTAATTTCCACTTGTCAGTAAAGATGACGTATGTCTAAAAAGGCTTGATATTGCCCATGTCTGAATTCCCTTTGCTACCTTCTTCCTTCTCTATTCCTTTTCCTCACTCTTCCTCCCTCTACACAGGGTGCTCTGTGGAGCCAATCACTAAAATAATGCCACTGTAGAGCTGGATGATAGAAACCTCAAAAAGATCAGCAACATTCAAAATCACTGTCACTAACAGGATTACTGCTCAAAAACATACAGGCTGACAATCTTTGGTTACTGGTCCCTTGTGTTATCTTCCAAAAAGTTAGGCAAAATGAACAGATTTGATGAACAGGTGCTTGTTTTGGAGACAAGAGAAGGAGGTCAGTTTGGGATACTGCCATTCAATTAATTGAACACAGAGGTCTCTCTCTGTACTCAGAGACCCAGACTCTTCCTTCCGAGGTTGACCATCCACTATGAAAAGTTCTGCTTTGCTAGAAAACTGAGTTTGCAACCAGCTAGCCACTGAACTGAGCTGCTATTGACAAAACTGGAGGTAACTCTGTCTGAGATTTATGAGGTAAAGATCTAGAATAATGAGAATAAAGTCTATGCCTTCTGAGGTTATGAATAAGTCAGAAATATTTATGTGTTTTCATTTCATTATTAATGTCCCTATGTAAAGGTGATAGTTGATAGAGTTTATTTCAAAACTTTGTGAAGTGAGTTTCCAAAGAATGGTCACCCTTCCTCCTTGGATCAAGCTGTCAATGTCTAGAAAGGTGAGTTCTCAAGCAGAAACGATGCCATTTTAGACATTTTGTTTGAGACCTGATATGATTAGTCTTGTACAAATTAAACTTTTGGAATTTTGTTATTCAAAAGATAATGGAAACCTAACTTTGTGTTGGGTTTCAGAAATCTAAACGTTGTGTTAGAGTTGGGCAATCAAATTGTCTTTTCTGCTCTGCCAAATTATATGACTGACATTTATTGAGCCAACAAATAGGCTTATGAATATTCTGGGTGAGATAGCTAATGTTTCGGAGCCTCAGATGCCACATCTGTGTGAAGGGACAATGACATTTGCTTCATTCTTTATGTCTTGCGGCTGTTGTTCAGGTATGAAATGAGAAACATGAGTCCTCAGAGCAATGTCTCAGCTGTTTTTACATGTTTTGAGCATGTGTTGAACAACACGCTGCCTGTCACATGTGAAGGAGCAGCCTTGTCCATAACAGCCTCATCTTTCTCTCATGGCATGCAGCTGGTATAGTAGGAGGAAAATGCTGTTACAAAATACTAAACCCTTCTCTGGGAGTCCTGAATAATAAACCAAGGCTATATGACCATTGAGTCTTTATAACTGCATGAGGAATGGCCATTTTATAAGGCAGAGGAAACTGTCACTTATGCATGAGTTATGAGAGTCCAAGGACGTTTTGTTTTCATGAGCCCTCTGCCTTAGCAATGCCCACCACTCACCAGTCTAACAGGGTGAATTATTCCCCAGAATGAAAGTTCACACTGACATTTTCAGGAGGCTACAAAATGCAAAGGACAGAACAACAGGTATATCCGACTACCTGATGGGCCAGGTGGGCATAGTAACCATAGGACTTGCTCTCTCACTTTTCCCTTGCTCCTCACCAGGACAGGAGTCAGGAGTCAGCCCTGTTTTGTGTGAAGACACCCAGCAACAGGGAGGTAGTGGGGGTTCAACGAAAACTTGTTGATACTGAAGCAAATGTCTTCTATGTCCCTCATTATCACTCTTGTGCTGAATGCCCATTCCAAAAGTCAACTTTCACCATTCATTCAAAGCAATTTTTGCATGCTGGAAAATTTGAGAACGTAATAGGTACACAGGGCATGCAATCAGACTTAATGCACTGTGATGAGCAGGATGGTTGTATACAGGGTCCCTTCATCACTCCCATGCTCCAGGCTCTCCTGGAAGTCCTTCCTCACAGGTGGAAGGGGGTCACTGGGCAAGAGTGCAGCTACCTTTCTCCCAGAGCCTGCTGTCGAGGTCCCTGAGCATCAGGGGTCAGTGATGGCTGCTGGGATGATAGTCCCCACATTCTGAGGTGCGTCTCTCAGCTAGAAACAAAGGCTGCTTTCCATTTAGCTTCCTCTTCTCAGCAAATGCTCAGGTCTTCCATGTAGTTTAAAACTTTCACCTTTTACAATATACTATAGCTTGGTTTTATTTTGAAGTTTTTGTTGCTTTTTTAGTGGTAGTTTTAATTGGCACTTTCTCTTGTACTGATGATTTAGGAAATGGCTGTCCTCATTTACATGACTGCTTTCTTTTTATTAGCATGCACATATTTTATTATTTTGAGTTTATAGACATTAACAGACATCAAAAGTAGATCTTCATAGGAAATCCCATGATAGTATCAAGTTCTTGATTTCGATATAAACAAAGGTGGGGGAATCTCCCCAAGTCTATCAAGAGCTGAGGATGAAGTGTGAGCACAATTTGAAAATTATGATAAATAAAATGCCAGAATGTCATTGCACTGCAGTCAGGATTCATTTGCAATGCATGGTGGGCTGAGCTGACATGGCATAGCCTTTCTGAACTGATCATCTACAACCAAGGGCATCGCTGAAGGTGTCTGATGCAGATTAATAAAATCACTCAGAAGACAAGAAACACAATGCATGGCCACTTTTCCATGCTTGTTAACCTAAACAAGACAATGACGTGGACAATTTCAGTGGCTGTCTCATGTGGATCATTGTGAGCAGTGGTTCTGACCTTGCAGTTCTCTGCAAGGAGACCGCAGGTTGAGATGGGGTTATTTGAGCAACCCCCCATGACAGGGAGGGGAAAGTAGAGTCTGGCTTCCCTTCAGAAAACTAATATTCTGAATTTTATCTTGTGTTTGAAATTTAGACCTTGAGGGGATTTAGAAGAAGATGGGAGAAGAGACCCTCCCCAAGACACAAAAAAGGAAGGACAGTGACCCCAAGACACTGAACAAACTCGTTCTGGACATCCTGCCTAGCTGTCTGTGCCCCAGCTAACTTTTGTTCTTCTTTCCCCTTTTCCTCTTTTGTGTTCCTGCTTGCCTTCCTGACAGCCTTCTTTACTAGTCTATTTCTATGGGTTCTCTGCTCTTTCCTCCCTTTCGGCTAGCACCTATTATGTGCTAGGAACTATATTAGAATGTAGGGCACAGAAGTTGGCTATTACAAGTCCTGTCTTCAAGGAGACACCATCCATGGTAAATTTATTTCCATGAATCCTTGCAAAACCAGGGGATACATATTAATTTCACACCACAAATGAAGAAACCAAAAGTGAAAAAGGATAAGGATATATGCTCAAAGAAAGACATGTGCTCAGAAAGGCACAGAAGCAACTGGATCACAGACGAGCCAAGGACTAGCCCCTCGCATAGAACTCAGAACTCAGCGCCCTCATCCTCCTTGCTCTGTCTGTAATCTTCACTTCCTTGGTATTCCTTTTATTATAACTCCCATACCCCCTAACCATTTCCCTTTAGAAAAAGTAATTATTTTTAATTGATAAAAGTCTGTCAGTATCCAGCTCCATTATGGAAAGCACTATGAAGAGAACAAGATAATCATGAAAACAAGACCTTGAAGCATCTAGAGAAAATATCATTCCTTAAAGGACACCTGTCTAATGTTCTTTGACTCGTGTGATCTTTTAGATTTATGGGGGCAGCTATTGGACACTGATTCTTAACTCAGCAATTTCTGGTACCTTCCTTAGCATTAAGAGGAGAAATATGATTTCTTGAAATAGTGTTGGCATATAACAGGAGAGGGGGAGAGAAAAAGAGGGAGGGATGGAGAGAGAAAGAGGAGGAGAGGAAGAGAAAGACAGAAGAAGACACAGAAGGGAAAGGGAGGGAGGGAGGGAACAAGGAAGAGATGAATGAGGTAGGAAAGAGGATGTATGAAAAGGAAGAAAAGCAGCTGTAAGATGGGGAAGGAAATTTCTCCCTTTTCCTCTGAGATTTTAGGCTGCTCAAATAATCAAATCGACATTGGACATGTTAGTAGAAAGAACATTTTAATTATATGCATCTGGGAAATCTATAGAGATGTGTGAACTCCAAAGAAAACGAAGCAAAATAGAGTTATATGTTCTGAAGGAAAGAATAGGAAAGGGCCCTGAGACTTCAAGGAGAAAAGAGGGGCTTACTTATAAAGGAGAAGGTGACTCATGATGAAAACCAGCTGCTGAGTAATTCAATGCTCGCCCTGCCATAGAAATAGGTGTATCTCACAAAAATGGTATTTCTGGTAAAGTTATCAATGTTTTAGGGTTAAAGACCTTTTTTTTTTTCTTCTAGCTAGCTGAGAGAGGGTTAAAATTTTTTCTCATGAGTTTCAGTTGACTTTATCTCAAAATACTCTGTATACAAAAGAGGCATTTCTTGGGTGATATTTTCTTCAGCATCTTCCACACAGGACGGGTAATAGAAATCCTTCACTCGTGGACCTTACAAACTTGCTGTTAATCAATCACAGTGCATCAGCCTTAAAATAAGTTGCTACAAGAAAACAGAAGGGGTAAGAGGAGCATGAATTATTTGTCACCAAGTTAATGTAACAAATAAATAAATACAAATAATAAACTACTTTGTTTACGACTTGGAGGAACAAGAGAGAAATCAATCCATGTCTTATAATCAAGCCACATAGAACAACAATCCCATTGGAAATAACAGACTCAGAATAAAAATTGATCACTTGGGAGAAAGGACAAGGAAATAGAGTAGAAAAAAACCAAGCTTACAAATACAATAAGCCCTCAGTGTCATGGGTAGATTCTTGGGAAACCTTACTTTAAGCAAAATAACATACAATGTGACCATTTTTACCATAGGCTAATTGATCCAAACAAAAGTTAATTTACTAAGGTATATTTCCGGTGTCTAACACATCACCAAGCTTCTAAATACAGGTGGCAAATGCTTGTTCTGCTATTAAACAGTCATTTCATTTATTTATTATCCCATTTCCAGTTTGCTTTCCAGGTCTGGTTGACAGGTGGCGGGAACCCACCCCACAGCACCAACCCTGGACAGGACGCTCCCACAGCAAACACACGCTTGTGGTCTACATGTTTGAGACACGTCAGTGAGTCTTGCATGCTCATGTTAGGGATGCAGTAGTAAACTGGGGTATCAAGACAAAACCCAAGAAGACCTGGGGAGAACATGCCAACTCCACACGGACAATAATGCCCACCAGGAATTGATTTTGTTTTCCTGGTCATTGTTGTAATGAAACAGCACTGAGCCACATAACATTATTAGAGAGGCTTCTGTACTGAAAATGAAGGGAGGCTTAACTTTCAGCTGACCCAGATTTTAACACCCCACATTGATGAGACTGGACAAGAGACTCCCCCTTTTTGGTATCATCTGTTCCCAGTTGGAACAAGACAGCAATAAAAAGGAATTTCACCTGTCAGTAATAACTAAAGGTTGAATATAGAAAGAACTGGTAGTTTGCCCACCTCTTTCTCAGTATGAAAAAAAAAGCAAAAAAGGCATTCATACATGTTCATCTGTGCAAAATTTCTGTCAACAGTCACAATTGATACTAAACACAAGTCTTTCTATCAAGACAGTAAATGAGAGCCATAATCTCTGTTTCAAGCTGCAAATAAATAAATGGGATAAATAGGATGTCTTTAGTAATAGATTGCAAAGTTTTTCCCATATTGAATAGGTTTTAAAAAAAATCATTATTTTCCTGGTAAGCATTCTAATCTGATTATATCTATCCTTTAACTTACTTCTAGCTGGACTTACCTAATTACATATAAAAACAAATGCAAATCAATCCATTTCATAGACATAAATAATTAAACAATTTTAGACATCCAGAATTTTTAATAATTTTGGCTCTGAAGTATATATTTGGCTAATAGAATTTGCAACAAGTTACATGTAGAGCAGAAGAAAGTCCTTTATCTCCATCAAATAATGGACGCAGATCCATTTGTTATTTTTTTTAATGGTGACAGCAAAATCAATTCTAAGGGTGGGGGGGGAAGGAAAATGAGATTCTGAATTTCTCACTATACCTTCTATTCCTCTTGACACACTAATTAGTCTCCCACCCGCTTTTCTTATGCTTTACAGGATGTCTGCCTGGGGGAAAAACAAAACTGGCAGAACAGAAGAATAGCAGTGACAAATGGAGAGGACAATGGAGAAGTGACAACTCCTTTGAAGGGAGCCTGTAGTCTTTAGCTGCATGCATGCTCCAATGGTGACTCCAGTGGTGAGTAGCGAAGGCTTTCAATTGTGTATGAAATTCCTAAGTAGAAATCTAAACTGTACAAAGCACCATCCTTGACTGTTCAGTACCTACACAACTAAGAATGGAATATTCTTTGTTTCACTTCTCAGGACAGTATTGCTCTTGTCTGAGATGCAAGAGCGTTGCTGTAAAAAATACTGCTTCCCTACCAGCAGCATCTTGTGGCATCAGAAGTTAAGTCTTTTGAAATTTTGGATAACAAGTAAAACGACAGCAAAATCCCGATATCTTTGCACAGTTTATGAACAACATACAATGTTTTTTTTTAATTATTATTATTTTAAAATTTATTTATTTTTTATGTGGGAATTCTCAGTTTATACTGATCTTATTCATTTTTTTTTATTTTATAACAGTTTATTTTACGTTTTCACATTTTTTTTTCCCATCTCAATTGTAATCCCCGCAGGTTTCCCATCACCAAGTCACCCGTGTGCCATCACCATAATCCCGTGCACTTCCCTCCCCACCCCTCCATTTTTGATCCTATTCCCCACTCCACCCCCACAAAATGTCTCTGGAATATGGTTCTTCATTATTCTTGTTATTTTCTTGCCTGGTCTATTATACTCCTGCTATGAGTGAAACCATCCAGTATTTTTCTTTCTCTTTCTGGCTTATCTCACTAAGCATGATCGTTTCCAGCTCCATCCAAGTTGCTGCAAAAGACATGTGTTTCTCTTTTTTGGTTGCTGAGTAATATTCCATTGTATATATGTACCACATCTTTCTAATCCAGTCATCTACTTTTGGGCATTTGGGCTGTTCCCATGTTTTTCCAATTGTAAATAAAGCAGCAATAAACATGGGGGTGCAGGTACCTTTTTCAATCTGTGTTTTTGTGCCTTTTGTGTAGATACCTAGGAGTGGGATTGCGGGGTCATAGGGAAGCTCCATGTTTAGCAGTTTGAGGAACCTCCCAACAGTTTTCCATAGTGGTTGTACTAGTTTGCATTCCCACCAGTAGCAACAACATACAATGTTTTACAAATAAAAGATGATCTTAAAAGAAGGGAACCATTTTAATAGTTTCTTAGGAGTCTGTGACACAGCACAGGATTAGAACTGAGATGTCAATGGGAATTACACAAGTTACTATAAACTGTACTATATATTACCCTGTTAAAACGGGGCCTGGGATGCTAGACAGGGAGCGCTGACGCATGCGTACTTCAGCAACCTCTGGGACGCGATGTGCCTTGCATCTCCCATAAGTAATGAGCATGTTTCCCTTGGCGGGGAATGGAAGGATCTTCTCTAGAGGCGGGTTAGGCGGCTGTTACCTTGGTTCCATAGACGCCTATGCTGTTAACATGTAATACACTCTCCTCTCTGTCTTCAACTGTGTTGTTGGAATAACTGATTCGCATATTTGAATACTCTGGACCATTCTGAGCTGATGGAAAGCAAAGATGGAAAATGCCCTGACTCGCTGCTCTCACCCACTTCTGGAGTTTCAGGGCAAGTTCTCTCCTTGAGCTGAGATTCCTCACATTTTGTGTTGTGTCATACCTAGGGGGTGACGCGGGGAAGTTCTAAGGCCGGTTTTACACAGGTTTTAGGTATCCTGGTGGATCTTAGGCAGATACCAATATTTGGAATGAAATAGACTATTTTTTAAAAAGATTTATTTATTTATGCATACAAGAACTGGGGTGCAGGCCAGAGGTGGGGGTGGTGGTGAGAGGATTCAACCCGAGACAGAGTGGGGAGCAGAACAGGTGGAATGACTGAAATACACTGCTGAGAGGAGCAGCGGGCCAGTCAGGAGAGGTCTGCGAAGCCATGTGGGTCACCTCGCTGGCAGGGGATTGAACTCATGCTGCAGTGGCTGTGGACAGCTTCAAAGTGCTGTGCCTTAACCCCTCGTGCCACCAGGAAGGGCCCTGAAAGAGACTTTTCACCAAGTAATGCTGGCCTTTAATCAGATCCATTAGGGACAGAGTCTCCCAACTGCAAATGTGTCCTTGATAACACATTCACCCCAAATATGCCTAGAAGGGGTTGTATTGTGGAGTTGCCTCTTGCACTTAGGCCTGATCCTTCTGCAAACAAGCTTCTCCTTTGGAAAATAGTTACATTTGTGTAATGACTGGAGTTTTTGTCTCAACCTGAAACTTCCACCTATAGACATTACCTGTAAAGAGCCATTTCTTGAAGAAGGAGGAACAAGAAGAGGCAGGGAAGATGAAGGTGGAAAATAAAAGAGAAGGAGGAAAAGGAGAAAGAACAGGTGGAAGAGGAGGGTCGTGCCTAAGTGTTCTCACAAGGGCGTTCCTCCTTCAGTTACCCTGCCCAGTTAATGCTTCTGCGTCATAATCTTTCCATATTCCCATAACTGGCTAAATAGTCTGAATTAACTCAAGTACTTTAGCGCCGAAAGACCATTTAGGGAACACGCGAACTTCCCAAACTTGATTTTCTTGTAACTGACTCTAAAATTGGCAAACTGAGTAGAAGCTGCTTAGATTGGAGTCTGAAATTGCCTCTTTGCAAAATAAGTTCTGAATATGAATTGACAACAATAACAACAACAAAAAAATAGAGTTTTCTTTCTTTGCTTCCATGACTTTTTTGTGTCAACAGCTATGTGTCAGGCCCTGCCCCAGACTTTTCTTCGGTCTCACTTTCAGAGCAGACTTTCCTCCTAGAACCTCCACTTTTGTGGAAATAACCCAGGTTATTTTCTGAGGTTCCTTCTGAGCCCTCAGACTCTGAACTCAGCATGGCCTGTCATTTTAAAGTTAAGTCTTCTGAGGTTTCAGACAAACCTCAGATCTCGTATGTTCTTTTTGTTAAGGCCAAATTGCAGGCCTTAGTTAAGGAATTTCCAGAAGCACTGATGGTTCATGAATTTGCAGATGAATTCAGCATCATAATGTGCACTTCAAAGCTGTTTTTTTTTTTTCTGACCTACATTAGTTAATTCATATGCTTGTTAGTAAGGGTTAAACCAAACATAGAATGAGACTTGCTAAAAAGAAAATCGTGAAAAGGGTTTAGAGAAATTTTGGCAAAACACCAAGAAGTTGGCTGATGAGCTTCATCAGGACATTTTGTAAGCCCATTGATTGGAATAAAATCAGACTTGTACCCTAAAGATTGAGGAGCCTGTTGATGAGTCTTTGCTAATGGACTGAGCTGAGACCATTCTTTTAGTAAAAAAAAGGAGATTGAGTGTAATGGGACACTTTACCTACTTCTCATCTAGATAGTAAGTCAACCCATTAACACTTTAGATGAATCACCCAATACAAAACTAAAAACCCAGTTTTGTCCATTAGTATTTTAAAAAGACACATAATGGAGGAGAGATTGCTACAAACTTAATACTTTCAAATGTGTTTAGTCTTCCAATCTTACTTTCCAACATCCTTCTAATTTCTAATAACAAGGGTTCTAGGAACTACAAAGATTCCCCATCCTTTCCTCTTAACTGAATAGAAAAAAAAAAAAACAATTCTCCAGCTGAGGAATAAGTTTTTCTGTCTTTAATTTTCTTTAATTGCGGTAACAAAGGTTTTCATTGTATGTGATTCCGAGGCACGGGGTCATTTATCTTCAGATGTGATGTCTATCACCACACCACACCTACCACCAAGGCAACTCTAATCCTCCACTGTAGCCCATTACTGACAGTATAATCATGTATTTTTATTTAGCCCTATAGTGATAAACAGCACCTGCCTTAAAGTACTAAGACAAAATAGTGGGCATTCTTATAAAACTCAAAGTTCTTTCTGAATCTGTTCCTTTTTGATTACACCTTTGAGAGATACTCATTCTTTTTATCCATAGTTCCCCAGTCCCTATTAATTTATTGATCAAGTCTCCTTAGAAATTATTGTACAGGAATATCATTTTTCCAAAAAGGTGAAATGACTCTAGGTGTTGACAGGAATCTCTGGATACTCAACCAAGTGAATCAAATGAATCTTTAACATACTTCATGCCCTTTTTTCTAATGGCACTAAAGTTGATTCTGGAAGTACTGATCATTTTTCCTACTGAATAAGAGATCATTCTCCTAATGGGAAATTTCTCCTACTGACGTTTGCAAAATTCACAGTGCCTTTCCATCAAGATTCAGATATTTCGACTAATGGTTTCCCAGGATTAATCAATACCCAGAAGATAAGAGATTCAAGGGAGAGTGATAATAAGCTAACTTGCCCTTGCACATCCTAATTATCAGTTACCTTTCTCCCTTTTGTATGTGAAAAGCAGCCAAATGCTCTTGGGTTACTCACCCATATGCAATAAGACCATTATGGAAACAAAGGCATGAGGGTCAATAAGATCTAGTGGCACAAGAATAGCATCTTTGCCTTAGGATTATTGCTACAGTCACTGTTAAGGCCACTGAAGAAATTATTGTGGGTTCCCTTTTAACCATATTTGAACCTCTTGCAAAAGAAGTGTTCTTGAGTTGTCATTCAACATTTCTGTCAACTGTCTTTCCTCCCATGAACTTCTTTTGCACACTGCTTCCCCTATAACTCTTTGTTATTGTTATAGCCTTACCCTGCAGCTGTGACTGCTGAAGCTCTTTAGGACTGTTTGACATAGATAGATCACCTCCTGGCCCCTTCTGATGACATTAGAGAAACTCCCTTGAGCAATCCTGACATCTAATCATTACCTACTGGTTTATAATTGAGAGATTAAAATGGTAAATATTGGGTTGGATATGCAATAGCAATGCCTTTTGATGAAATTGGAGTGGTCCTTTTGCCTTTGGCTACGACAGATCCAAAAGTTAAATTATATATGTACACATAGGTTAATGCCCTCTTCAGGAACAAAACTGCCAGCATTTACAATGATAGTAGCTATTCTCTACAATTAGTTTGTGGCTTTGGAATGTTGTAAGAGCCACGTGACTTCCTTGATATCAACAGAAGGGGCAGAATTTTGGGATGTTATAATTTCACTTGTACTTTTAACTGTTCTTAAGATTA